GTATGTACACACACAGACATATGCATGTACACACATGTATGTGCACACATAGACATGCATGTGCACACACCACATGTATGTACACACATGTATGTACACAGAGAAACATGTATGTACACACACACACACACAAACACAGCGGTATCAGCCCCAGTGCATCTCCACACCCACGCAGAGCTGACAGCACATATCCATACATGCATATGGCCAGGTGTGCCAGCACACGTACACACACACACACACACACACACACACACATATCCAAACTGCCCTCCGTGGGCACATGGACACACACACCCTCTCCCCAGCAGCCACAAACACACCTGTGCCCCTGCCAGGTGTGCACATAATTCTGGGCAGCCCTTGGAGCACTGTATTCCCCCACATATCATACACATATATACATATAAACACATAAAACGTATGTATATGCATACAAACACACATAAATACATATCTCCAAGTACAAACCCAGCAGCATGCACCTGTCCACATGCACACACATGTTGTTGGCACATGTGGATCTACACACACCAGCCTTCATATTCCCACACTTCCAGCTTGGGAATCCTTATGCGTACACACACACACAAACACATAAACACACTTGTGTACAGGTGTGTACACACACACAGAGCCCTGCACGACATGTAACACAGACACACGTATGTACCCACACACTCCCAGCAGCCCCATGCTCACACCTCCCAGCCCCCCCAAACCCCACGTTACCATCAGCCAGGTGTCGAGGGAACACGCCAAAATTTGGGGGGGAGTGAACACGCCAAAATTTAGGGGGGAACACGCCAAAATTCCGGGGGGACCCCTTGGGAAGTGCTGCCCCAGGGATGAGGCGGCCGAGTGGCAGCGCTGCCGCTGCCGCCGCCTTTTTATAGGGCTCGGCAGGTGATGTGCACACACCTGGAAACTCCAGCTCCAGGTTCCTTCCTCCTCCCCGCGGGCCGGTGCACTTCCTTCTCTACTCCACGTGTGCCAGCCTGGAATACAGCCTGACACCTCCAGGATTTCAGGAGGGAGGATGGGGAAGGGTGTCCAGAGGCTTGGCTGCCCCGATGACACGGTGATGGGCATCCCCCAGGCCATGCCCATTGCATCACCCAAGCAGTGATATCACCGGGGCTGCCGGAGCAGAAATCCCAAGTTGGGCAACCCTGGAAAGGGATGAAGGGCAGTGATTACCCCCCGCTTTTTGCTCCAGGATGTCCCAGTGGCCCCTGACAGCACCAGTGGGATACTGGTTTCATGGTGTAAAGAGCAGGGCTGGAGGATGGGAAATTCCAGAGCACTGGGAAGTCAGGGACCCCAAATATTGTTCCTTAAATTAAGGGGGATTTATCAGAGGGACCTTCAGATGATCCCACCTGTGGCACTGCCTGCAGAGACTCCCACTTACCACCACCAGTGGGATACTGGTTTCATACTGGATGAAAGAAGCAGGGCTGGAGGATGGGAAATTCCAGGGGATTAGGAGTTCAGGAACCCTAAACATCACCCCTAAATGAGGGAGGTTTATCAGAGGCACCTCCAGATGATGTCCCCTCACTAACATGTAATACCAGTGTGATACTGGTTTCATACTGGGAGCCAGAAGCAGGGCTGGAGCCTGGGACAGGGAGTTCAGGGACCCTAGAGATTGTTCCCTAATTGAGGGGGGTTTATGCAGGACACCCCCAGGTGATATCAGAGGCTGGGCCCCCCACTAACACCATCAGTGGATACTGGTTTCATACTGGGTGCAAGGAGCAGGGCTGGAGGGGAAAGGTACATTGGGAGTTTAGGGACCCCAAACATCAACCTCTAAATAAGGGGGATTTTGTCAGAGGCACCCCCAGATGATGACCCCCACTACCACTGGGATACTGGTTTTACACTGGGAGCAAGGAGCAAGATTGAAGGTAGTGAAATTCCAGGGAATTGGGGGTTCAGGGACCCTAAACATCACCCCTAAATGAAGCAGCTTTATAAGAGGTGCACCCCAGACGATGCCAGCCAGGGCACAATCTGCAGAGCCCCCCACTAACACACCACTGGGATACTGGTTTCATACTGGCTGCTCCCCCAGGAGATAGGGCAGCTCTTCCAGCTCCATGGAGCAGCAGAGTTGGAAAAATAAACTACAACCCCCCTCAAACTGAGGGGTGCAGACTCCCAAGGCAGGAGAGAGGGTGGAAAGGGGATGCAGAGAAGAGCAGGAAAAGGAAAAATTGGTTATCAAAATACTTTATTTCAGGGAGATCCCTCAAAAAAAAAAAAAAAAAAAAGAGGGAGGGGAAAAAAATGAAAGGAAGAAGGACCCTCCTGTTAGACGGACATGCCCACAACACCTGCAGGGCTCCTGGGAAATCAACTGAACCAATCCGCTGCTCCAAAGAAACGACAGGTCATTCCCGAGGGGATTGAGGCAAGAATATATATATATTTGTTCCTGGGGGAGGAGGGGGTGTTGCCAGCAGTTCACAGCAGTTTTCGGCTCTCTCGGCACACAGGAACTAGAACTGCATTGCTGAAGACACTCAACACACAGCAGGGCTAACTAGGAGAATACAACTCGAGGCTAGCAAAGAGGGGAGGGGAGAGAGGAGAAGTGGGAGCATCCCACGGGGCTGGAGTCCTCTGTGCAGAATTTACACGGCTCCGGAGCCACTGGCCCTCACGGAGCCGGAGCGAGTCGTGGCGGGAGTCTCGGCTGACAGAACTTCCTTAATTTTTTTGTTTTGTGTGGGTTTTTTAAAAAGAATCGCAGCCAAAATGAAGACAGAACTGCAAAATCCCAAAGTGGCCGCTTTTTCCACTATTTATAAAAACATCAACAGTCACTACGGGGCATGGCCCACTATACTTTTCCCGGGATTTTGGCCCGCTTGCGAGCGATGGCGTCTTCCACCGCCTTGAGCTGCTTCAGGAGCTCCTCCCGCCGTGACAGGGTGCTGGACTTGCCCCCCTTGACGGCCGCAGGACCCGGGTCGGATGCCTTGCCCGGGACACTTGTGACTTTGCTGGAGCTCTTGGATTGAGGGGAGAGCTGGCGTTTCCTGGGAGAGAGAGAAGGGAGAGGTAGGTGAGAGGCACTGGAAAAACCTCAAAGACATCTGCCCTGGTGGGATCATTAAGGATGGAAAAGACATCATCAAGTCCAAGTTTCAACTGGATCCCACCATGCCCACTAAACCATATGGAATCATGGAATGGCTTGGGTGGGAAGGGACTTAAAATTTCATCCAGTCCGTACCCCTGCCATGAGCAAGGACACCTTTCACTAGCCCAGGTTGCTCCAAGCCCCATCCAACCTGGCCTTGGACACTTCCAGGGATGGGGCAGTCCCAGCTTCTCTGGGCAACCTGTGCCAGGGCCTCACCACCCTCACGGGAAGAGTTTCTCCCTAATTTCTGATCTAAACTAATATATCAGGAAGTGTCACACCTAACACATCACTCCAAGAGCTGGTGGGAGAAAACGAGAGGCCTTGGGTTAAAAACTGGCTGAAATAGTAAAAAAATCAGCTGTTCCAGGGAGATTCCCAGAATAAACTTGGCACCATGGACTGTGTCAGCTCTTGGGTGCAGTGAGCAGCTCAAGGGAGTGGCAGAGACACAAAGACAGGTGAGCAGCCCTGGAGCAGTCCCACAATCTCAAATCCTGCCAGCCCCTTCCCTGTGATGCCACTGGGTCTTGTGGTGCCCTGGAGAAACCAAGCGTGTCTGTAACCCCCTCCTATCCCCCAGATTGGCATAGGGCACATCAAACCCACCATGTGCCACTGCCATCTCAGAGATCAGCAGGATTAGAGGGTCAGGAATCATTGATGTGATACCAGCGCTGGGCTGGAATGGCTGAGGTTCCCATCACTGCTGGAAAACAGGACCTGAGGGCCTGAGGCAGGACAGGGCTGTGGCAGCAGGGTGAGGTTTTGGTTTGGAAAGACTCTGAGACATGGAAATTGAGGCTCATTCATGGCCCAAGCTGGGAGAAGGGAAGGGAAGGGATGGCACAAGTGCAGCCAGCCAAGGAACACTGGGATGCGTTTGCTCCCAGAGATCCTTAGAGAGATGACAGCAGAGAAATGCAAAGCAGCATTGTCTGGCTACAGGCCTGAGGGAGTCCCAGGTGTGCCACAGGTGCTCCACAACCTTCAGCCCCTGAAGCCACATGTCCAGTCCTGCAATGGATTACTCCCAGCACAGCAGTGGGTACAATCTGCCAGGAATTTGGATGTGAGCTGGTCACCTATCACCTGAGGGGACGGCAAAGTGCAAAGCCAGGGCTGTCAGGGGACACATTTTAATGTGTCACAGCAGCAAGGTGAGCCAGGCTGGGAAAAATGGGAATCAGGAACTGGAGCCAGGTGCCAGGAGGAACTGGGCAGCAGCGGGTGAAGGGGTTGTACTCTCTTGCTCATTAACACTATGCTAAACGAGGCACTGACAGCTCACACCTGACCCACTTAGCTCCTCTTGCTGGGACTGACCTCAAGAAAACCCCTGGGCTCCGGCTCGTCTCCGTGCTGGAATGGCTTAGCTTTGCACGGAGCCTTGAACACCTCTGGCACCTGCCCAGGGAGCTCCACGTCCTTCCTCCTGCTGTGCTCCAAGGCAACTGGGAACTGCAGCCCTAGAGCCTTGGAGCTGCCCTGGGAGCTCTGGAGCTGCCTTGGGAAAGTGTGAGCCCTGGCCCACAGGGAGCCTGGAGAACAAGCAGCACTCACCTGTCTGCCTGTGCAGGGGAAGGTTTTGGGTTCTGGCCCCTCTGTCGCTCCTGTTTGGGGGATGAGAGTCTCCCAGTTGCCTTCCTGTCACGAGAGCCTGTTGGGAGAGGAAAAGAAAGAGGAAGATATTCCTGCTTGTCACCAAGGCACAGTTCACTTCTCTACCTGCTGAACCCTCCCAGAAGTGTATCAGCGCTCTCTTGAAACCACATCATGCCAAAAAAAGCCCCAGTCCAGCAGCAGCCAGGAAAAGAACCTCCTGCAGTGTTCCCCCCACTACAGAGGGAGCAGAGAAACCAGTGAGGGCTGTGCCCCACAGTCCTCTGTACACATCATCAGCTGTGGGGAGGGCACTGGCCTCTCCTCATCCTCCAGCTGCTGGAATAAGGCATTTTTTGCTTGCAAACCTGTTGGCTCTGCACTGACAAGGTCACAGGGTGTACTGGCTCAAAGACTGACAGGTGAGGGCAGCTCTGCTGCTTTTGGAGCCAACAGGACCATCCTTCAGGCAACATCACCCCCGTGTTTGTTCACAGGCTGAGCTGTGGTGCCCTGCCTGGAACTGCCATGGGGGCTCAGGGATGAGGGGAAGTTCACTGGGGTCCTGGAAAGGTGCTCAGTCCCTCCTGGCAGCAGCACCTCTGTGTGCCAGGGCATCCCTCTGCTCCTGAGGATGGACACTGTGACAGCCCAGGCTCTGGACACCACAGATCCAGGTGAGACAGACTCAGGGCACCACCATTGACCAGTCTGGTGCTAGAACACCGAGGGGCTCAGTCCCAAGTCAGCCAAGGATATCTTTGCCACTGGGATTTGAGGCTTCAGGGCTTGGACTCCCCATCACTGAAAGTGTTCCAGGTCAGGCTGGACAGGGCTTGGAGCAACCTGGTCTAGTAGAAGGTGTCCCTGCCCATGGAGGGGAGGTGAAACGAGATGAGCTTTAAGGTCCCTTCCAACCCAAACCATTCCATGATTCTGTAATTTGCTACAGCTTAAAAATTGCTTTATAAGACCAAGACAAGAATAGTACAGAATTACATCTATGTTTATATCTGTAAAATATGCTGGGTTGGCCCATTCACTCGTCTGCAACTCAGCAGCCTGTGAACTAGATCCCAGTGAACTTCAACCTCACCCAGTCCCGTCCATGCTGCCTCTGCAGGAGTCGAATGCAACCAGGTTATTAGCACACAAATTCTTGCTGGCTGGGACCCAGAGTCAACAAGATCCACCTACAGCTGAGCCACCAGGGAAAACAACATCACGTGGCAGCGCTGGCTCCGACGTCACAACCAGCCACCTCTGGCTGCCAACTCCCCCCACCCCCTGTGCTTTCTGGCAGCGACAGCACAGGCTGGAGTGTGACATTGAGTTCCCTCTCTTCGCATCACCAGCTTGATTTTCCAAGGTGTTACAGCCCCTGGTGAGGACTCAAGGCCCAGGAGAACACTTGGAAAGCCCGAGTCTTTCTAAACATCCAGGGCAGAGTGGATTGTGTCACGCACAAGTGGGGAAATCATCTCATTTCACAGGATGGGTGATGCAGGCCGTTATTGCATCCATCCATCCTGGGGCCTTGGCAGCCCGCACTCCCTTTCTAAGCACCGCCACAAGCCTGTCTGTCAGGGTAAGATTCACTGGGATGCACTGGAATCCAAGGCAGAGAAAACTCCAGGATGCAGTAAAGGAAACTCCTATGACTTAGAATCATGGAATGGTTAAGGCTGGAAAAGACCTTTAAGATCATCAATGCAGCACCACCATGTCCACCACTAACCATGTCCTCAGGTGCCACATCCACACAGTTTTTGAACACTTTTCCAGGGATGGGGCCTCCACCACAAAATGTTCCCTAGTACCCAGTCTAAACCTCCCCTGACTTTGACAGCCACATCCAAGGACACCAGCAGTGACCAGGAGGCTGTGGAGGGATGGATGTGGAGGTGAGTGCTCTGTGTCTTTAAAGCAAGGGGTTTATTTTTTTGGAAAGGACTTACACGGACACAGTGGAGCCACAATGGGCACAATGTGCCCCATGGACAGTGTGGTAAGGCCAGGTTTGGTCTGACCTCACCCATGCCAGTGCCCCCCTCCGCTGTGTTTTTGCAGCAGGATGGGCAATACAGTCCCAGTATCTGGTGGCAATCACACACTCTGAGGTTTTGGAAGGACACATGACTGTAATTAATCTTTCTGGTTATTGGATTCTTGGAGCAGAGGCTTTCACGGGACATTTGTCACCCGAGCACCGCCTGGAGCAGGAACCCGGAGCAGGAACCCGGAGCAGGAACCCGGAGCAGGAACCTGGAGCAGGAACCCAGCCAGGCCAGGAGCCCAGGGATGGCTGATGTCTCACCTCTGTCAGGGGACAGGTTGGCCCGTTTGGCTGGGGGGGAGGTTGGCCTGTCCTTGTCTGCTGGCTCATATCTCTTCCTACTTCCTTTGTCAGCTGCCTGAAATGGAATTAGAACAGACAACAGAGCTGAGCAGCCACTTCCCTCCAAGGAACCATCACCTCCCTGCGATGGTACCTGGCTCATGCAACCACCTCTCCCATTAAACTCTTTCCACACTCCAGTCCCAACCTCCCCTGGATCCTGTCATTCCCAACCACCAGAAGGCAATGGCAACATCCTCTTGCACTGGGGGTTAACGCTGTGCTATTTTCAGAATAGAAACAGGAAAACAGCAGCTTTTTGGGATGGTTTTTTTTCCAGCAGCACCAAGGATAGCAGATGTTAAGGAGGCATGTGGAGCCCTGCCTTTTCCAGGCTCTGAGGGTGCTGGCAGTCATGTGTCATTGCACACTCCTCCCTACGGAGCAGCTTCCTGGCCATGATAAAGCCGCCTCACGTCAGAGCACAGGGAAGTAGAAAAATCTGCAGCCTCAGACTGTGCCGGGGAATTTGGGCTGTCAGAGCAAAATATTAACGCTTCAAAAACAGGAACCTGCCCACGTGAGCGGGGCCAACACCCTGCCCCAGCACAAAACCCCACGAGGCCAAACTCTCCCACATGATCCGGATTGCGATCACCGCTGGAGGCTCTCAACTAGGGCAGCGGGATCAGTGGGAAAGGGGGAAGAGCCAGGTGGGCACACTTTTACCTCCTGACTCGAGCGAATGACTTGTCAGCAGCTCACTCCAATGGGAGGAGGGCGTGCTCGGAAGCGTGCCGGGAGTATGCTCCCAGTGGGAAAGGCCCCGGCACATGTGGGACTACGGCTGCAGCCTTCGAGCAAGCGGGAAGAGCCCTTGAAGCTGCAGCAGGAATGTGCCCCAGGGAAGCCGCCAACACAGTCGCAAACTGAAGCCACCACAGGGTGTGTTGCTGCCAGACTGGTTCTGTCTGCCGCCCTCCAATCCAGCTCCAGACCTTCCTGGCTGAGCTCATCCTGCCAGCATGGAGCCTGGAGCTCCCCTTCCACCCGTATCCATCCCACCCATTGCTGGGATCCCTGTGAGGAGGGAATCCCAGACACCCACCCCCCTCACCTTGTTCAGGAGGGTCAGTTTGATCTCCTTGTGCCCACTGAAGCCGCCCTGCTGTGACTGGGGGGCCGAGGGCTGCTGGCTCTGGAGCAGCTGCTGGGATTTGCTGCCCTGGGTGGGCTTGGCTGATTTCAGGAGCTGAGTGGGCACATCCCGTTTCCGCTTCTCCTCTTTAGCACTGTCTTCTTTTTTTGACTTTCCTGTTGAAACCAGAGAGCAGATGTGGTGACTTAGGACTGAATCCTTTGGAGGGCAGGGCAAGAGGACGCTGCTCCAGGGACTGGAAAAGCCCACATCAGCTTACACAGCACGTGGCCCCGGGGTCAAAGGATTCAGGAAACCAGAATTTCCAAAGAGGAATATAAAACACAAAGAACAAAAGGCTTTTGCCGCCAACTCTGCTACGGTCTAAAAACAACAAAGAAAGAGTAACATGATACTGGAGTTGTCCGGATTTTCATCACCTTCCAAGGGTGAAAGAGAATAAGAGAGGAAGAACTCTCAGGGACGTAAAGGCATGAGACAGCCACAGGCACAGGGATGGAAGGATGTGAATGTAAATTTGCTCCACAGCCTCACCCTGCCCAGGTGACACCTCTGGGTTCCCCTGGTCTGTGTCAACGATTTTCCTGGAGCCCACAGCATTCCCAAGCAAGTTATACAGGACCATTGCTCTTCCCTTCTTTTCCCAGGACTCCATAGAGGAAAAAACACTAAAGCAGATACCTCTACCTTTCTTCTGCTGGGCTGGGGTGGGGGAGCGGGAGCTGGCCGAGGACACGGGGCTGGCCAGGTCTGCGTACATGTCCTCGGAGTCGGCGCTGCGCACGGAGCTGCTGCTGGACGAGGCACTGGACACTGAGGAGACGCTGCTCACGCTCAGGGACCTGTAAAGAAACAACAGCTCAAGAAAGCAACAACAATCAGGCAGTGGTGAGACCTTTTTCCATTCCCCTGGCTGGATGTCAGGAAGCTCAAAGGCAGGCAACGACCAGGAACAAAGGCCGTGTGTCCTGGGGTGCCGATGATATGAAAATTCCCAAACACGTAAGATGTACACCTAGAAAGTAATTAAGGCAACACGTAAACAGGTCACTGTTTGCCCAGAAAAACAAGGAGTGAAAGCAGGGTGTGCTGTCACAGGTCAGTTTTATGGCTCAGGGCAAGGGTTCCCTGGCAGGGTTTCTGGTGTTGGCAAACATTTACTGTCATGACAGGTAATGACAGGGAGGATGCCTCCAAGATGGTCATCTCCTAATAGTGTCTATCCCTGGAAGTGTTCAAGGCCAGGATGGACAGGGTTGGAGTAACCTGGGGGGTTGGACTAGATGAGCTTTAAGGTCCCTTCCACCCCTAACCATTCCAGATATATGTTAACTCCATGAATATTCAGGCAGCCTCTCCAGCCTGTTCCACAGGCCACACCAACTTGCCCTGCCAGCAAGATCCAGGCTCCCTGGCTGGAGGCTGGATTGGGATAACTGAACAGGCTGTGGCAGCTTCAGCACAGACCAACCCTGCTACAAACTGCAGAGTCTGTACCTGCTGGCATCATAGAATCATAGAATATTCTGAGTGGGAAGGGACCCACATGGATCATGAAGTCCAACTCCTGTCCCTGCACAGGACACTCCAACAATCCCACTGTCCCTGAGTGTTGTCCAAATGCTGCCTGAGCTCTGTCAGCCTTGGGGCTGTGACCACTGCCTTGGGGAGCCTGTTCAGTGCCCAACCACCCTCTGGGGGAAGAACCTTTTCCTGATATCTGACCTAAACATGATGGAGCTGAGCTCTGAGAGGTCACATGGATTGTTGCAACGGTGACAGGATGAGCCAGAAACTCCTTGTCCAGGCTACAGAATGTCACAGCAAAGCTGGTTTGGGCACACACTGTATTTCCTCCGTTTTCCCCTTCCCCATACCCCTGGAGGAGCAGCACCTACAGCCCCAGAGCCACACAAGCAACTCCTGTGTTCATTTTTCCCACCCATGCCCAGCTCTCTGAAGCTCTTGCATCACCCCTGAGCTGATGAACGTGACAAGCATGTGGTAAACAAGTTTGGATTTCCGTAAAATAACGCGGATGTTGAAGCTTGGAGTTCCACAGGGTTCAGGGATGTGAATTAGAGCTGCTCAGAGCCAAATCCTGCTTAATCCACTAGTTTTGCATTACAGGTCTACCCTTAAATCTGTGTCCCAGGGAAGTGCTGTGTTTCAAGGCTCTGCCTGTGAGCTTTCAAGGACTCTTGTGTGTGAATAGATGTAAAAGTCTGAATGAATGACTTGAAAGAGGTTTATTTTATGACTCTTTGCTGGAGGGAGTTTGGTGTTTACACATCCCACAGACTAACACCCTTAGAACTGTTCACTTGGGGCTAAACACAAAGGGAACTGGCTGTGCAACTTTGCCAGCAAAAGAAAAATATCATTAGCTGGGCCTTTCAAGGATTTTCTGACCTACCTCTTCCGACAGGCCAAGCATCTTCCCTAAGGACATGCAAGAACCAGAGGTAGGAGAGCTTTGGGAGAGGAAAGCTCTGTAGCCTGAAACTGTTCACTTGTAAAGCAATTAGGATGTGGTTATAAGATGTTTTGGTAGCAATTTAGGCTAAATGGGCAGTTGGGCACACATGAGAAGCTAATTTCCATGAATAAACCACAAGGAAAATATCACAGAATCATGGAATGGTTTGGGTTGGAAGGGACCTGAATGATCATCCAGTTCCATCCCCCTGCCATGGGCAGGGACACCTTCCACTAGACCAGGTTGCTCCAAGTCCCGTCCAGGGCCTCCCCACCCTCACAAGCAAGGATTCCTTTCCAATATCCCATCTAAACCTCCCCTCCTTCAGCTTAAGGCTATTCCCCTTCATCCTATCACTCCATGCCCTTGTGAAAAGTCCCTCTCCAACACTGTACTCTTCTCACAATTCAGTACAAAACCAACCTTATCCCACCTCCCCGTCACCTGTAGCCTCTGCTACTGGAAGCTACAGAGAATTTTTGCTGCAAAAAACCACAACAGTGAGGAACAGTCACAATCTCTCCTACTTAAATAACAGTAATGAAGGGTCGAGGCGGTACCTGGATTTCCTGGACCCAGACGGGGAGTGGGAGACTGAGGCAGAGGATGATCTGGAATGAGATCTGGAGAGAGATCGAGACAAGGACCTGGATCGGGAGCTGGAGCCGCTGTAGCTGCTGGCACTGCCACTGATGCTGCCACTGATAGTCCTCCTGCAAGACAGCAAGTGACACCATCACACAATGGTAACTGTAAGGAAAAGGAGAGAGAGGGGGGAAAAACCCACGAGAAACAAGTGATGCACAACAGAGTTGCTCACCACCCTCTGATCAATGCCCTGAGCAGTGATCGGCCTCTTCCAGCCACCTCCCCCAGTTTATACACTGGGAATGATGTTCTGTGGTGTGGAATATCCCCATGGCCAGTTTGGGTCAGCTGTCCTGGCCGTGCTCCCTCCCTCCTGAGCATGGGAAACTCAAAAGTCCTTGACTTAGGGTGAGCTACTGAGCAACAACCAAAACATCCACGTTATCAACATTATTCTCACCCTAAATCCAAAACACATCAGACACTAAGACGAAAATTCACTCTATCCCAGGACAGCTTCCTACAATTGCTAACTATGTAATGCAGTGGGATATCTCATATTTCAGGCTGTACAAATAACCCTACACATTTTTGGGACTAGAACATCAGTCCTACCATAAACAGAGTTGTTTTGTCATTTGGAGAGTGTAGGGCAGTGGGTATAAGCATGAAAAAACCCACCCTGAAATCCAAGATTGGAATAAAGGGAAGGTGGCTAAAAACATCTGAGATGAATATTAATCATTAACTAAAGAAAGAGAAACAGAAACTAGGACTGACAGAGTTTCTAGAGAAAAGAAATCGTCATCATCAGTTTTCATCAATGGAGACAGAACTGCACAGCCCAGGCACTCAGCTTCTGGGAAGAAGGAGGAGATCCAATGCCATGGAAAATTAAGGACTGACTTGGGATGCTTCTGAAAACCTGAGTGGAAAACAGACTTAGACCCATCTTCAAAAATCTTCAATGATCCAAGAAAACCATACATGCCTTACTGCAGGCATGAAACATTCCCAGGCTCCTCGTGCACTCATAAAATGGATATTTCTAGGAAATACATTTCTTACACACCAAATTGCTGCTTCCACAGAGCAGCACACTGTGGTACAGACACAGAGGTACCACACTGCTATTTCACTTGGAATACTGGAGTCACATAGGATGAAGGCAGGAAGGGAAAGCAGGGCAGGGAGCCAGCAAGATGTGTACTGGGACAGTGAAGGCAGTGGAGTTTTCCCTCCTCTGCTCCCGTGGAACTGCTGGATGCTCCCAGGACCACACAGAAATACTCCCTGCACATATTTAGAATAAAGAGGGTCCAAACCCAACACCACAAAGCTTGACCCTCCACCCCATCAGATCTGTCTCTGACCAAACACACCTTTTTCCACCTCCACAACCACTAGCTCCCAAAATTGCCTTTTTTCCCCCCACACCAAGCCCTGTTTTTGACACAATTCATTTTTCCACCTACTTCATTCCCCTCGCCTTCAGAGGCAGGAGCCACTTGCTGTGCCAAACATTCACCCCCTAGTCCTTCCCTCTCTTCCCATTCCCTCCCTGCCCTAGGAAATGGATTTATCCTTTAACACCAAAGAGCCCTGGTGGTACTCTGGAGAAGAACCCTGGATTTGCTGTATCTTCCAGGAGATCAAGGCTCACTCCACCCGCAGCTCTCTTACCTCCTGGGTGGAGTCCGCGTCTGACGTTCCTTCCTTCTCGCCTCCCGATTATCCCCTGGCTTGGCTGGCTCTGGAGCAGCTGTTGTAATTTTAGTGAGTGGCTGAGGGACTGGAAGGGCAGCGAGTTTCTTCACAGATTTGTCACTGTAAAAATGACAATTTTCACGTGTGTGATCAAAGTCAGTAGGTACAAACCACAGACATTCTCAGAAGCAATGAGATGTGCTCAGGTTTGTTGTTGATCAACGTTATATTGACTATGGAATCATGGAATGGTTTGTGTGGGAATGGACCCTAAAACTCATCTCATTCCACCCCTTGCCATGGGCAGGGACAAATTCTACTAGACCAGGTTGCTCCAAGCTGAATCCAACCTGGCCTAGAAGTAATTTCTGCAGCTACAGACAGTTGGCTATTTCACTAAAACATAAACAACACAGATTTCCCCGAAGACTTGTTTCCCATATTCGATTCACCTTTTCAGAGTCAAATTACTACAAAACAGGCAATTTGGGAGATATTTGACTTGTAAATTAACTCCTGAAGTAGACTGCGTGAATCACTGTTTCTTATCCTACTGATTCCATGCATTTTTATCCCAAACACATACACCTACTTAAAATCTGCCAGTCAGGCTTAAGAATGAAAAACAGACAGTTAATGAAAAAATGCTCTTTTTCACTCCATCACACAAATCAAGAGGATGCCTGTGTGTGCAAATATCCCTTGGATCCACCCCTTGGGTTGTGTTTCCCCATGCAAAACTGGATGGGAACACCACCGCACTATTTAGCACCCACTATGTGAGATGGGAATCACTGTGGCTCTTCAGTGCTGCTCAGTTCAGGGCTCAGAGCACTCCAACCTCTGCTCTGACAGCTGGATACTGCTCAACATATGATCATGGAATAGTATGGGTTGGAAGAGACCTTAATGTCTATCCAGTTCCACCCCCTGCCAGAAGCAGGGACACTTTCCTGCTCCAAGCCGCATCCAACCTGGCCTTGAACAGGGATGGGGCAGCCACAGCTTCTCTGGGCAACCTGTACCAGGGCCTCACCACTCTCACAGGGAAGAATTCCTTCCCAATATCCAATCTAACCCTGCCTCTGGCAGTGGGAAGCCATTTCCCCATGTCCTGGCACTCCAGGCCCTTGTCCAAAGTCCTTCTCCAGCTCCCTTTAGGTACCGGTACATCCCAGCACTGATTAATCAGGGAGGCGGTTGTCTGCACAAAGACACTGTTAATTCCTCCTCTTGTGCTCAATATCTGCATTTATCCCCTGCAGAACACAGGATTAAGTACAAGCCATGTTATCTAGTGTAAATAATCCTTGTCCTAGTGCTGTGGTGTTACCAAACCAGCACTGCAGGAGCACTGGGAGGGTGCAAAGACATCGCTGCAGGTGCTGAGCGAGGCCTCTGAGGGTTGAGCCCTGAGTGGAGAAGGAAAAAAACCCCAAACCCCCAGGTTAATAAGGTACGAAAAGTGTGGCAAAGGGGACTGTCCCATATTCTGGAGAATTCAGGGGGATTCCCATGGTGTCACTTATTTGCAGGTCACCTTAAAAGAGGTGACATCACTACAGTGTTGTGTCACCCTCCGACATATCCGTAATTTACTCTTGTAGAGTTTGTGAAATAGCAATTTCAGGAATTTAAAAGAGCAGGAGCACTGTCATAATGTGCCAAAACCACCTTCATAGTCCTGTTTTCATTTGTATTCCAGTGTTAAAAGCTGATGAAGCTGAACCATTTCTTTATTCTAAGGCTGTGCATTAACCAAAGCCACAGTAATGAATTAAACTTTCATAGAGCTGCTGTGTAAATATATCTGCACACACAGTTTAGGCAGCAAATCAGGCATATGTTTAAACACTCATATATACATGTAATACTTAAGGATACTTGTACAGCTTAACTTGTATTTAGTAAGTTAAAGTGTCATTATTTATTTAAACATGCCAAGCTAAACACTCTTCTATGCAGGTTCTATTTTGCATCTTTCATTTCTTCCTTCAGCTGTCAACCAGGCTGTAGAATTCCAGGATAGTTTGGGTTGGAAAGGACCTGAAAGATCATCCAGTTCCACCCCCTGCCAGAAGCAGGGACACCTTCCACTACCCCTGGTTGCTCCAAGCCCCATCCAACCTGGCCTTGAACACTTCCAGGGATGGGGCAGCCACAGCTTCTCTGGGCAACCTGTGCCAGGGCCTCCCCACCCTCACAGGGAAGAATTCCTTCCCAGTATCCCTCCTAACCCTGCCCTCCTTCAGCCCAAGGCCATTGAAGGTCAGAAGGGTCTGACTGGGGGATTAGGCTCCTGCTGGACTCTGCACTGGGGTATCCAGAGGGAGATGAAGCCTTACCCTTTTCCAGGAGGTGGCAATAACTCCCCTTTAGCCTTCGCCAGTGGCTTGTGTGGAGATGGTGTTGGAGAAGGAGAGGGAGAAGATGAGAAAGACCGTGATCTAGGAGGGAAAAGACATCACTCAGCTCAGTCTCTGGGATTGCAAGAGGTTTTACTGGCTTTCAGTGCATTTTGACACCACTCCTTCCTTGCCAGGGAACTAGTCCTGAGCTTAAACTTGTTTTATATTTGGACTCTTCAACAAAACTTAACTCGTGTCATCAAACAGCGGTAAAAGAAGAAAACAAAAGGAAAAAATAGGGTCAGCTGGAAGAGAGGCACTGCAGGTATTCCACACCAACACCTGAGGCTGTTTCCATACTCTCTGGATTCTCTCCTTAGGGAGAATGTCTATGGGAAAATAAGTACGATTTTGACTTGCAAGTTCAGCACGAATTGCCTCAACCTGCTTCATGCCCTGTAACTCCTAGTGCAGTTTATCCTTTAAACAGCAACAAAACCCCAAAAACCTTGGGAGAAAGACACAAAAAATACACCTAAATCTAATATTTAACACAAGGTGAAAAATGTGCTGCATCTCAAAGGCAACACATCAAAAGGCAGAAGCTGTTTCCTAAGCCCAGGACTGACCTGAGCTGAGCCACTGGCAGGACACAACATGTGCTCAGGTGATTCATCCCACTGCCAAGACTGGAAGTCCCTCTGTTGCATCCCAGTACCTCAGAAAGCTGGACATCTGGATGACAGGCTTTCTGGAGAACAGTTAGGGACCAGGGTGTTCCTCACTCCCCTACATTCAGGGAGAGGCCCAAGTGGGTCACCTACACCTGGCACTGTCCTGCAAGGAGCAGAGCCCAGAATGGGGCGGATGGGGGAAGGTCAGACTGTTCTCCAGGTGAGATCAGCTTCCACCTGAGCCTTTCCTAGGAGAAACCAGGTCTCTTGTGATCCACTCTGTGTGATTTGAGCCCTGAAGAGGGCCAAATTCTTCTAGGGAGCCAGTTCTTCTACTATGTATATTCCAGACTTGGGAAACTGTCTGCAGGGGCAAGGAAGTTGCAGAGGAATAAACAGCCCTCTGTTTGTTTAATCAGCCTGGGACACTGAATTGCTGCTTTGAAGTGTCAGGACTATCACAACTGCTTTAATAAAGAAATGTGATTTGCCTCTTGAAATAGAAATTCCAGTGCCATAGAAAAGAGATGCTGGTGAACTTCTTCCAACCATAAAATGCAAATGATGGGAACGTTAATTTACCAGAGGCATGGGAAAGGGCCCAGCCACAACAGCACCATGCTCGTGGGTGGGAGGACTGGGGAGAGGATGGGGTGGCTGATGGATCTCCAACATCCACACTGGCAGCCTCCCTCACTCAGGGAAGTGGTTTGAATGGATTATTTCAAGAGCTCCTTATTTGCTTTTAAGTAGCAGCAAAAAGGAGCTGTTACAAAACCAGTTTTCCATTGGTTCCAAATCCCAGGAGCCATTACCTGGACCTGCTGCCTGAGAAAGAGCTGTGCCTCGAGGAGCGACTGGAGTAAGAGCTGTAGGAAGATGATCTGGAGCGAGATCGTGAGGAGCCTGAACCAGAATAGGTGGATGAACGAGAAGAGGACCTGAAACAAAAACATTAGAATTTATAACCTCTTAAAAAGTCCTCTGAGACATGAGTCTCCAAGTATGTTCTTCCCAAGTTCTGCTCCAAAAACTACCTGTCTTCTCCTCCTGTCAGGACTGCAGCCTATCCTCAGCTCCCCCTTTTCATTAAGGGAGGATCCTCTTGTTCCAACCCTCTTTGCACCCTTAAATAAGCCTTCCCTCCTTTAGTTATTGATTTTCCATCCTTTTTGGGAACTGCTTCCACACATTTTTATGCCTTTTCACCAGACAATCCTCTGACAGGTCAGGGAAAACAGAAAAGCCTCAGGTGCAGTGATCCCAGCAAGAAAATCTGCTTCAGGAGGGCTTTGGCTTTTAGATCCCTATCTCCAATTCAGTATGTTCCTCATTCCTCTGGGATACTTCTCCCCCTTTTTTCAAGAGCTTCAAGTTCAAGCACTCAAAGAAAACGGATCCAGCTTCTGCCTCGAGGCTCCCAGATTCAGGGAGTTTCTTTCTGAAAGCTGTTTTTTGTCTTGTTTTACACCTGTTGGTTTCCAAGCCCCACTCCAGCCTCTAAGGCTCTGTCAAACCTCCACAACCCCAGTTTTTCCCTGTAGCATCAACACGCTCTTACTGGAGTGGGCTCACCTCATCTCTCCATCTCTCCTGGAGTGACCAAGCTCCAATTTTTACAGCTTCCAGTTGTTTGTGCTCCTATTAAAGTCAGTTTTCATCTAGATCAGTTACTAGATGTAAGAGCAGTAACATCCACACTGCATCCAGGTCTAATGGACCTGAAAAATGGCTTTTCCAAGGACTTGCTTCTTCCTAATCTTCAACAGGTCACAGCACAGCTTCCACAGTTTTCCCTGCCCCTTTTGGATTCCATGTCACTACCTGTCCATAGGTGTTACTGAACAGCAGGTCTTGAACTGCTTTCCCAAACATAAAATCGTGGAATGGGTTGACTTGGAAAGGACCTTAAGGATCTGTCCAGTTCTACTCCCTGCCCATGGCAGGGACACCTTCCGCTAGACAAGGTTGCTCCAAGCCCCGTCCAACCTGGCCTTGAACACCTCCAAGGATGGGGAATCCATGACCTCTCTGGGCAACCTGTTCCAAACATCTCAACACCTTCCCTGGTCCTGAGTCGGCCACATCCGACTCCTGGACACGCTAACGGATGTGCCAGGCTCTCTACCCTCCCTCACCTGGAGGAGCCAGAGGCAGAAGCTGAGGAAGCAGAGGTTTTCCGGCGCCTCCGAGCACGGCTGGGGGACACGGACACGCCGAGTTTCTTTTTGGGGGACTTGGATCGGCGCCAGGGATCCTTCCACTCGTCCGCCCGCTTCGACTGGGCCGTGCCGAGCGCGGCCGACTCCTTGTCCTTCTTTGGTGGCTCAGGCTGACGGCTGGAAAACAAAGAGGAGTCAAGCAGCTGGGATTCTGAGGGAGGTTTATAAGGTTTATAAAGGAAGATACACAAGGATCCAGGAAAAGATATCAGAAATATAAATATATTGTAATAAAACATATAAATAGATACACAGGGCCATAAAAATACCCCAGAAATTCATCTCTCATAGCAGTACCAGCTTAACCTCCATTGCAGAGTGTCCAGCATCATTTTGGGGTGATAAAGTGTTAGAACAACTCTCAATTTGTAAACCAGTATCTGCAAATCTACAATTTTATGAACTTCTTTGTCACACTGACCAAGTAGTGACCTCCCAGCTGATTTCAGGTTCAGCTTTTGGCCTCGAAGGAATGGACACAAGCAAGAGGGAAGGGAATGGGAAACCTGGTTCTTCCTGAACCTGCACAGATGGAGCAGCCCAATCTTGGCAGGCAGCCCCCAGTGCAATGGAGAGAAGAGTCACTCAGAAGAGATTCAGCCTGAATTATTCTACAATTCCCTTATCAGGACATCTTACGGGGCTGTGTCACAGGCCAAGGCACAGTGACCTCTTCTCACCCTTCTGAAGGGAATGGTTCCTCCCTCATCTGAGCATAAAGCAGCTCATCATGGTTGATTTATCACTGGATTATTCTCCAGGTGCTTATAAACACCACCAAACATGTTGTTGATAACCATGAGGATGTGACCAGTCAGGCCAGACATCTTCCATCTTCTCCCTTCCCTTTTAAGGGTTCTACTCCAATTTCTCCTTTTTTGGTTCTCCAGGTTTCCCTTCTCCTCTCCAACTCTCTGAAAATAATCCAGGGCCAACGTTTCAGGACCTGCACCAGACACTTCCTTAAGTTCTCCAGGATGAGTTTCTTCAGGCCAAGACTTTATTACCTCTCTTATCTCTGGGTGATTTAACTTGGAATTTTTCCTTGCCCTCCGTAACCTGCACCCAACTCCTCAATCACCTGCTTCTGACCTTCTCCCTTGGGTTTTAGGCAAAGTTTGTGCTGGAATAAAGCTTTATGAAGTGTGTTGCACTCATCAAATTACCAAGACAGTGATGTGTTTGTTCATTTTCTCCAAATAATTAACTCTGTGAGAATCTGGGGGAGGAAAGGCCCCTTCCATGGCTGGCTTCAGCCAGTACCACCCCATTAGTCACACAACTGAAGTAACCACTCCCCACCCAACTTCCTCTACCTTTTGAGATAAAAAAGCCTCCTCCAAGTTTTCTAATAATTCCAGGGACTCTGCTTCTTGCCTCAACACTTCAACAGACAACAGGATAATTAAAGCTCTTCGTTAGCAGCCTGTTCAGCCCTTTGAAGGCTTCACTAGTCACCAAGGAGCCTCATCCCCTCCTTGCTGGCAGTGTTACCTCCTCCTGACTCCAGAACTTGGATATGCTGACCTAAAAATCCAGCATCCGACTCTTTCCTTATCTTTGCTGATATAAAGGCAATTTTACTCTTTGTCCCATATCTACCTCAGTATATTCACAATTTTACATGAGGAGAAACTCTTCTTTCACCTTCACCTCTCCTACAAATCTCATTCCAGCTTCAAAAGAGGACGATTATGTCTAACACGCAGAACTGCCTGGTCAGGGAGTCCCAGGCAGGGCTATGGCTCAGCATTATTCATTCCATCCTCACCCTTTCCAACACTGCTCCAACACACACTATTTAACTCAGTACATGATATTTGCAGTGGGATGGTCAAGTTTCCCACGTTACAGCCACAACTCCATGAGTATTTAATCATGGAGGAAGACCACAACCCTGAATATGGGGTTGAGACACACTGGATGTATTGCTTCTCCCTAATAACACTAAACAGTCATAGTTTGGGGCCAAGGTCTCCTTCCAGCACTTGTTTACGAACTTCCAGTTTACAAACTCATTTTGAAGCCATTTTGACCTCTGGAATATCTCAAATCAACCAAGTGCAGAGGAGGAAGAAAAAGAAGGTTGGGAACAGCCTGCACACCTTGGATCAAACAGCAGGATAAAAAGCAAGGAAAGGAGGAGAAAACCATATGAGAATGTCATGGATAATGCTCTAATATCCTGATCCAATGTCCCTTCCTGAGGGATCGCTGTCTGCAGCTTTGGGAGGTGCAGAAGGGATTTTCTGCTGGCACAGGAAGGCAGAGGCATCATTCATCTAAAGACCTCGGTAAAACCTGTGGAGAAGCTTTTCCTGCAGTGTCCAGGCTTGTGAAAGCCAACAACTGTGCCAGGGGAGGGTTAGGTTGGATATCAGGGAAAGGTTCTTCCCCCAGAGGGTGGTCGGGGACTGAACAGGCTCCCCAGGGCAGTGGTCATGGCCCCAAGGCTGACAGAGCTCAAGGAATATTTGGACAACACTCTCAGGGACATGGTGTGATTTTGGAGTGTCCTGTGCAGGGCCAGTATTTGGATTTGATGATCCTTGTGGGTCCCTTCCCACTCAGGGTATTCCATGATTCTATGAACTAATGAACAACCTTGTCCCTCTCAGGCTCAACTCTCTCCTGCAACAATTTTCAGCAAGAAAAACCTCCTACAGAATTTATTATCTTCCTAAAAACCAACTTATATTCACATCCAACAGCCCATTCGGGGAGCTGGAGCTCAGCTCCAACTCCATGTGGGAACAACTTAGGCTGAACTCCTCAGCTTGGAGCAATAATGACTCTGAAAGCAAATCTCATTACTTGCACCTATTACTTGGTTTGATGCAATGCTCTCTGGATGAAGTCACTTTCTGGAGGAAAGGTTTTTTTCCCTGGGAAAACCACAACAGAAAGCCTCATGTTGGGATATGCTTTTCACTCAGTACTAAATACACTACAGACAAGGAAGATGATGCTCGTGTCAGGACATTTTCAAAGCTTTTCCTCAAGAGCTGCCTGCGCTCCCAACGTGTGGCATCACCAAATAAACTCCTTCAACCTAAAATGAGGGACTGGCAGCTGATGCTGCTCAGCTCCACTTCCCTAGTGGAATTCTGGAGTCAGAGCTGAAAGTGAGCTGGAGCCACTGCCAAGAGGAACATCCCAATTTAGCCTGCAGTTCCACTGAAGACACTGTTGGAAGACAAGGGGGAGGTTTTCTCCTTGCTTTCACTCTTGCAACCAGGCAGTTTTTCCTTCCTGCCTCGTGATGGATCTGGTGCTTGTTGGAGTTCCCAACTCCTTAATTCAATAAATTAAAAAATAAGAATGTTTTACTGCTGGGTCAGTGAGTCCAATCAGCAGGGTCTGACCAGCTGCAGGAGCTGAATCATGAAGAAGAGGAGGGAAGAATCCCGGCTGTGCCGGGGTAATGAGCCATGGGATCACCTCATGAGTTCATCCTCATCCTCAGCAGTTTCCCAGGCTGCAGGCAAACCTCACACAGGAGGTTTCAGCATGGAGAGGGGGGCTGGCAAAAAAATCCACATGTTAATCCCAAACTCCTTTTTACCAAATTGCAATTTTTAGGAAACATTTCCAGTATTTCAGAATTAACTCCTTAATTAGGTTGGTTTTGGCTGGGGGGTTAAACCGCAACGTAAGTCTACGCCACAAGGTTTAAAAAAAGTAAATTAGAGGGAATAAGAGACAAGACAGACTGACCAAAAGCACCTTCGTTTCCTCCCAGAGCCCCAAGGATCACCCAGGCACCAGCAAGGGCTGCAGAGCTTCGCTACTTCTGAAGCCCATTTTTCCCTTAAAATAACTAAAAGCTTTATTTTCCAGATCGAACACGTTGATGCCTCTTTGGTTGGAATTTAATGACAGCAATCAAGAGGAGAACTGAAGCTGAACATGGCTTTGGCAAGGAGAGGAGGAACAGAGACAGCTCCAGTTGGCAGCACAGTGTAGGTCATGCAGCTCCCGACCGCACGCACTCCGGTTCCCAAACAAACCCCGAACTCAACAAGGATTGGAGGGGGCAAAGCAGAGCTGCACAGCCTTTGCTGCTCTTCTCATGTATTATGCAAATGCTGCCAAAGCATTTCTAATCTTAGAGGGGAAAACAAGCTTCCTGGGGAAAGTGCTTCTGTCCTTCCTTCCCCCTCCCGTGGGACGCAGCTCCCACAGGGAATGCAAACCTTATCACCCACGGCCAGTGGTGACGTCAGCCTGGCTCCAGGGCTGCTCTTCTGGCCACACTTTACAGCTCAGTTTGCTCCAAGAGGAAAGTCCAGCCATGACTTAAAAGCCTTTGAGTTTCTCGCAGGAAAGCTGGGATTGCGTCAGCACTGAGTTTTCCTTCAGTGGCAGTGGAATTTTCCAAAGGAAGTGGACTCGAGGAATGACTGGAGCCATGTGCCAAGGCAGTTGTGAAGAGACCTGTAATTGCTGCAAAACAAATTCCAGCAGAGTGCAAGCACATGGGAATTTTTCCTGTCTCGGCAAAAAGGAGAAGGACAACAGCTCCCAAAATCCACCTCCGTGTACCTACAAACGCTGGACCTTGGAACTGGTGCTTGTTGATCTTGGTGAAATATTAGCAAAGAATAAGATTTTCTCGAGCTGTTTCCATCTAAAGCTGAGTTATGAGTTGCTCAAAAAAAAAAAAGGAAGAAAAAAAAAAGGAAGAATTTCTTCAAAGCCTGATGGGGAGAGGCTTGGAAATTAAAGAGTGGAGATACCATCTGAACCTCCAGGATGAAATCATCACAGCAGGGAGATAAACCTATCAGAGATGTGATCTACCCTAAGGGCTGAGCATTTGATGCCTTAAGAGCCTTCTCTAAATGAGAGAGGCAGAGATCCTGTCCAGAGATCCTGCCCCAGACTTTGCCATGTTTTAATAAAAATCCAGTGCGGGAGATCTCCCAGGAACTCCAGCTCTGAAATGCCAAAGAAAAACACATTCCTTGAGATCCACATCTGAGTCACTCGATGCCCTTCATCTTGATTTACGGTTACGAAATCCTTTGTCTTTTCCTGTGGGAGCAGAAGCAGCACCTCAAGAGTCACAAGGACTAAGACAAACTATAGTCTACAAATGTTTTGTGGAGAACTTG